CGCCAGCAGGAGATAAACACAGAGAACCTTGATGATCAATCCTGATTTTTTGTGAAATCTGATTAGTTTTCTGCGTTCCCGTTCATATTTCCAAATATATGTGACTTGTATTTGATCTCCTGTGTGAACTGCAGTCATACAACCTAAGTGTACCACATGCGCAATGACGTCACCAGCAAGCATGCTCTGTGTTTACGGAGGTAAACATGGATGTAGTGCCGGAGAACATCTAGAAATCTTTCCCAACCTTAAAAACTAAATCTTCCCAAGATGGTTGAACATAAATACTGCTCTCCGCTTTATCGTCCACCATTGTTGATGTTTTTCTTGCCATTTCTGCGTAGCAAAAAGTAGAAGAGTGACCACTGTCGGGTATTAATGACATTCAGCTCAGATGAATGCGACCTGGCTGTTCAGACACAGGTCGCATTTGCAAAGATGAGATTCGTATCGAATTCAGGACAACTTCAGGCTGCAGTGTGAACGTAGCCAGAGTCCGGAGCTTTAAGCGCTTTACCTGAGAGCTACAGCCAGATGGTCCATTCATGTTGATTTCCAGCTGGAAATCAACATGAACCAAACCTCTAAGCCGATCTGTATTCTAGAGGGCAATGGTGACCTAGAGGTTAGAGCATTGGGCTGGGATTAACTCCCCCACACTGCGCCGCACAGAGGCAGCCCACTGCTCCCCAAGGAGATGGGTTCAATGCAGAGGCCAAATAAGTTCAATTATTATTCTTTATCTGTACTGCCTGAAGTTCTGGAGAAGCAACTAGAATAACAGCGGATTGTTCTGGTTCTCCTGGGAGAAAAACCGTCATGATTTTTCTATGAGTTATTGAGTCGCTGCTTTTCTGGAAGCTCCAGCTGTCACAGATGAACTCCTGGGTTATAGGTTTACCTCTCAGCGTCGACCCTCAGCTTCTTAAAGGCCGTCTGCAGCGTCTCCTCCTCGCAGTCTTTACCTCCCGCCTCCATGGTTGGAGGAGGCTGCTCCGACCAGCCACCCAGCTGCAACACAAACACACACCTGATCAAGCTGCTGCTGAATCAGAAACACAGACAGGACTGTCTACCATGAAATGTGTTCTGGTTCGTTTTTTGAGTAGAACTTCATTCAACAAAAGACTTCGATTTCTTAAAATGTGACACTTGGTGTCTAAAGCCATGATTAGGGCAGTGATGCTGCCCCCTGGCCAATCAGTGACAGGCAATCTGCTGACATCAGCTCAGAACCCAGACCAATAAGACACTAAAAAGGAGGTGGTACCCGAAACTACACCTAAATGAAAACCCTGTAGGGTCACCCCAGGTTAGTGCAAGTGTAGAAAGAAGTCTGTCTCCTGAGGCCCCATGGACCTTCTAGAACAACTCTGGCCAAAAATCACAAAGACCCAAGTAATATTTTCAAATGTAGATATGATAATAAATGCAGGGTTAAGTAGTTTTAGAGCAAAAATGCTTTAAATTTCCATTAGAGAACAAAACAAACCACCCAGAATATTCTTTGTATTGGATAAGTTTCCACAAATATCTATCCCTTTTCTAAAAGAGTTTTTACGCTTTTGTTTATTTAAAAGTAAAAAAAAAGTGGTGCTTTAAAATGACCTTTCCTCTAGTGAATACAAACGAATTAAAAATTTTTTTAAAAGGGTTTGTAACATTCGTGGTAACATGTCGGTTTTATTGAGCTGAGGGCGAAAAATGCTCATTGGATGTAGGAGGTTGCAGCTCCTGAAGGCATCATAAACCATGGATAAGGAAACTGTTGACACGCCACCACTGCTGTATCAATAATTAACAAACATGTCACAATCAGAGGATTTTTTTTAAAGTCTCGGTTTTATGAGAACAAGTTTTTTTATGTGCGTCGGGATTTGATTTGTAAAATAATAACATTCAGGCTTACAGATTCATTAAAAACGACCTTCAGTTTAAGGGCTAAAATATTTCAATTTATATTTACCTCAAATTTTAAACAGGTTAAAATGTACGACGATGTCTCAGGATCTCAGATTTTATAAAGGGAATAAACTTTTAAGAAATCAGCATATTTCGGCCCAAATCTGAATGACCTAACAGAGGTTTTCAGCTCCAGTCCTCAGGTCCCTGTTCCTCTTAGATCCGCCTCTGCTTCCACAACCCTGAATCAAATGGTTGAATGGCCCCTAGGATGCATTCAGGTCCTACAGCCCTGCTAAACAGCCAGTTATTTGACTCAGGTGTGTTCAAGCACAGACATAAAGTGTGGGATTTATCCCAACTAGAGGACTAGAATTGAAGACGCCTGTTCAAAAAAAAAAAAAAAACATTAAAAAACAATATTTTAACCTAAACCAAGTTTATTGTAGTCAGAATAGTGAACATTATTGCATTCACCCTTTTCATATCTGAAAAAAATAAAAGTTTTGAAAAATATTGTAGACTTAAAGAATATTTAAACATTGTAGAAAAATCCAATCCTGGATCTATCAGTCCAAGTAATTCAGATCTGAGTCTGAAGCTTATTTAATGTCCATATTGGATTTAGCTCCGAAAACAATGCTAACTTCAGCGCCTCTGTTAGCATGCTAGCCAAGCAGCTAACTGGCTAGCTCCACACTTGGCGTTATTTTAAATGTTCTAAACAGTTTTAATGTTCGACTTAATATGAGGGTCAAACTTACGGCTCGGGTTGTCCAGGCCACACCAAGCAGAAGTCCAGAAGAGTCCAGAAGATTCTGGGTGGTTTCAGAGAAGCTAAAGGGCAACAGCTAGAGCTCGAGCTGACTTCGCCAAAATACGAACCAAGAAAAAAAACAAAACTCTGCAGACTCAGAACCTGGAGGAGTTTCTACGGAACCGCAGATGGACAAACTCCAGCTTTTAAATGCCTCCTAACATGAAATGCTCGGATGAGTCGAACTGGATCAGGAGCTTTCTCTGTCAGAAGCTTCTTGTTTACAGTCAAATCGTCTGCAGTGACTCTGCAACAACTGACGTCACCAGCCCAAAAAGGCAGCCCGACGACAAGTACGGAAGCCCCAAGGTGTCAGCAAAGTACTTTTGGCTAAAAAGTTTTATTTTTTATATAATTTTTTATATGTTTATTGTTATTCAGAGACCCAAAACATATATTATTTTATCTACCACTCTGCACTTCATTTACAGATCAGTAAACAATATCAAGTGTAATGCTCTTGGGACTTGTTTTCAAATGTGTTTATTTTGTTACACAACCCAAACAAAATAAATATGCTTTTCCTCTAAAACTATTTTTTTTAATAATGTTTTCTATTTTCAAAGGCTGTATGTTTCCTGGTTTGTGTTTTTTCTTCTTCTTTTTTGTCTTGTATTCTATTGTCCATCCATTTAATTATATTTCACAGATAAATGTTTCTCATTTTATCGTACGCTTTTCAGCAAAAAGTCAACATTCCAATGATCTGATGTGACTTAAATGCAGAGATGGGAAGTAGCGAAGTACAAATACTTTGTTACTGTACTCAAGTAGATTTT